TTCCAGCGCTAATCTCATAGAGATACACCATGAGTTGTAATTCGCGCTGCCTAGTAATGGAGGATTGACGAGAACGAGATTGGGATTGTCATTCGCGCTTAAGAAGAAAGGATTTTCCAGATCTTCCATATTGTAACTTCTATGTTGAGGAATCGGATCACGCTGTGGAACATGTGTCGACGGCGCCGGCGGCATGGAGCTTCCTCCGGTTTGTTCACCGACGACGGCGGCGGCATAGCTGTTATGCCGATGAGGCTCTGATACCATGACGGAAGTGGTAAAAACTGAGCGAGAAAGAGAAAAGGTGATAGAACTGTTTCATCTGTTTGTTCAACTTACAGCTGGAAAATAAAGCTTGAAGCTATATACAAAAAGGAACGGTTAAAACAGAAAGAAAATATCTCAAAGATGTGATGAGACTTCTTTGCCCTTCTTGACTCTTTTAACTGTCTTCCTTCAACAAACCAAACCAAATTTAAAACGTTCTTTAATGCAGAAAATAATCTTCAGCAGACCAAAACATAATTATTTTGAAACAAGATATTCAATTATATCATAGCCAAATAGATATATCTTGTATGTGTAGAATTAATATGTAAAATATATACAAAAGCTTCATGAATATGAGATTAATGTTGATTTTTCTTCATTCCAACATCCAAATGCATATATTCATTTCATATAGAAATATACAAAATATACACCATGGATAACAAAGCACATATATGCATATATACTACAATATTGTAAATATTTCACAGCAATAGATCAGATATACACACTTGATACATATTTTCAAGGAAAAAATAGTAAAAACATATACTGCATATATATAATTCAAAATATGTATCAATCAAGTAGTTTCAACAACTAGGCAGAGATTAAATTGAGGCTCTGATACCAAATGTTAGAATAATTATACGATATTATAATTGTAATGATCAAATCTCGTAGCGGAAGCATAGGAATCGAGCAAAACTGCAGCCATAGTTGATACCTTTGTGTATTGCGTTGTGAATAATCATAGTAGCAATTTCTGCAAACGTACCGTTGTCTCCCACTTGGTCTCCGGACATTATAGATGGTGTGTTTCAGGTGTTCCAGAGCAGTGGGAGGACCTATACTTATATAGCCTTATATGCCATCAATATAGGCTTTGTAACGGAAACTGTTATTTTCGTTACAACATTAATGCTACCACTAAGTAGCCATAAAGTGCCCTATTTAAACTTGCACCACAATAATATGACTTAATGGAAAATATTGTTTACATAAACAACAACTAACTTCATTTTAGATCATTCATTAGTATGATTGTAGTATTGCCTTGCAGCATTTTCCATTATAAATCATTTTCAATCTATATATTACCTGTAAAGTAAAGGTTGTGATAATTATAGACAAAGCAAGAGTGCTCTCCATGGTGCTGAAAGCAAGATCAATCTTTATTCCAATGATCCATGCCACAATTACAGTTAAGGGAATCAGCAGATTGAACATTAGACACAAAATTAATTTTTATTTATAAATTAAAACATTCTCTAATTCATATTCATATCTTTTGTTTAAAATAAGATGAAACTCACAGAAATCCCCCAAGACCCTGATGCAGCATGTCCAAAATATAGACAAAAGAATTCAGAAAATATCTAAATCCACAAACAAAAGATTTGATTACTTCATTTCGATCAACTTCCAATACATCATCACTGGCTTGTTCATTCACCTACATAGCCATTGCTCTTTAAGCTTCACCAACATCTTATCAAGAAGTTGCAACTTGCCAGAAGATTCAAGTAGCTGCTTGTTATACAAATGCAAGTGACAAAAAGATAAATTAAGTTGAATAGAAAAAAAATGACAATCTTAAGGTTAATCATTGGTGTATTCAACCTGTACGTTCAAACCATAAATTCCACAACATAAATTCATAATACATGGAGCTGCAGAGACAAACTAATCAGCAAACCACAGGATTAAACACATGATTAATGAGCTCAAACATGGCAATAATGAGTACAATACATTACAACAACTTATTATAATTCTTATGATATATATTTAGGAATTTAGGGCTTAATAAAATTAGGATTTAGGGATAAATGAAATTAAGAATTCAGGGATTAGGGTTAAGGCCGGATTTAGAGAAATAGAACTAACCTATATTACAGACGACGACGTACGAAGTAGCTGCGGCGGTTAAGACCGATAAAAAAATTTCTCGACGCAACAACCGGCGTGCTGGCGGGAAGAGGTTGCAGCGACCGATTTGAGGTGCATCGTGAGGAGTTGAGTGGGAACGGTGCGGCAATGCCGATGAGCGACGAGCGAGGGCAACGGCGATGAGCGATGAGCGACGAGCGAGGGCAACGACGACAGGCGAAGAGCGACGGCGTTCAGTGACGAGAAGAAGGTGGAGGGGATTTTGAATTTTGATGGAGAGGGTTGCTCTGTTTGCTGCTGTGGAAAAGCGGAGGAGATATCGCCAAATATTTTAACTTCCCACTCCTTAGGTTGTTTTTTGTATTGAAAGATTTTAATTTTCAGTCCAACATTTTTTTGGACAGAAATTAAAATACCTAATATTTCTACTTTTTATCTATTAGTCCATTTAGATTTATCGACCAATATTATAGGTTGGATAGAATTTACTTCCAACAATGGATGTTGGACAGAATTTCCGTCTAACATTCTTGCGTTGGACGGAAATTCCGACTAAAATTTCGTCCAATCATTTTTAGACGAAAAGTTGAGATTTTTAATAAATTACCGACCAACATTATATTGGACGGGAAAATGTTGGTCGGAAATGGCGAGAATTCTAGCAGTGTATTGTCCTTTCCTTTTATGATAATCATTCGGATGTTGTATTTGCTTGACTGTATATAAGCATTCTCTAGTTGATTGTGTTTCGGAAGTTCTATATTCATGTTTCTGTCTTGGAGTCTGTCCAACTTATGTTTTGCTCATGAACTCCATTTGTAAGTTTTTAGGGTTTTCACATTTTGTTTGAAATATCTCCTCGTCGAGTACATCATGTTAGATAAGTTTATATGTATCATGTATGTAACTTAAGTTTTCTCTGATCAAAAACATATCCGAAAGACCTTTCAAAAAAAAAAAAAAAAACATATCCGAAATTAGTAGCATTGCAACTATTGAGAAATATTCCTGACCTCTGGATGAATGCCTTGTTTCTCTAGAATTCTTTTTCAAAAATAGAATAAATTTACTTTTTAAAACTGTAAGAACCACCACTCACTAGAGAGGCAGAAGTTATATGTATAACAAGTAAAATAAAGAGAAAAAGAATATTGTTTAATGAATTTGGTATATTAATGATTACATTGAACTCCTATCTATAAGTTATAAGTATTAAGTAACTTCCCTAAGTTATAAGTATTAAGTAACTTCCCTAACACTCATAATGTGGGACAACTGTGCTCTTAAGATAGACTTTTTTTTTTTTTTTTTCTTTACAAAATAGTAAATTGCAGCCCAAAGAATCTAAGCCTCCACCACCGAAGTTCGAACTTATGACCACCTATTTAGAATGGTAGTTCGCAACTACGTTCTTATTTTGTTTATCTTTAGAGTGTAATGTGTGCCTGTCTCAATAATGTGGTAAGAAATTATAGTCAAGATTTGTTTTTTAATTAAGTTGAAGGTTAGAATGTGTGACTTTGGAGAGAACATTTAAACTATACAAGTATATTTATATTTCTTGGAGATAGAATTTTAAAATTATATGAGAATTAAAATGATACAATATGCTTAGAGCTGTTAACAAACCGAACATAAACGAACGAATGTTGTTCATGTTCGTTTGTTAAGAATTTTGGGGTGTTCGTGTTCGTGTTCGTTTGTTAAGCGTTCATTAGTGTTTGTTAACGTTCGCGAACACGTTCACGAACGTGCTCGTTTACGTTAACGAACACGTTCGCGAACATGTTTGTCGACGTTCGTGACGAACGTGTTCGTTAACGTTAACAAACATGTTCGTTAACAAACACGTTCACGAACATGTTGGTTTACGTTCATGAGCACGTTCGTGAACCTTTAATAACCAAACACCTGCACATGTTCATGATCACAATTCGTTCGTGAACAAGAAATAATCTACGTTCATGTTTGCGAACATTATTAAACAAACACTAAACGAGCTTGTTCACAGACATTATTAAACGAACACAAATAAGCTTGTTCACGAACATTATTAAACAAACACATACCAGCTTGTTCACGAACATTATTAAATGAACACAAACGAGCTTGTTCACGGTCTCTTAGCAGACGAGCATACAAATGTTCAAGCTCTGTTCGTTTATTAACCGAGCTATAATTTTTGTTTGTTAATGGTTCGTTTACCTTAACAAACGAATATAAACGAACGCTTATCGAACACGAACACGAGTAGTTTGCCGAAAGCTCTATTTGCTAACACCCCTAAATATGCTGCCCAATTGGTTTACACTACCTAGAGATCAAATTAGTTATATTGATGGACAGAGCAGAGTATACGAAAGGAAGACTGTGTATTCATGTATTCGTCAACTTACATCATGAGAGGAAGAAGGTGGTATATATACATGGATGTACGTATACAAGAAGCAGTTATGAGGTGGTTACAACAACTTTAGAAGAGAGTGTAAAGTCTATGCTACCCTTCACTTTATTTGGACTCTCTCATCTCTTATTACCCCCCCGTAAGCTGGATCATGGAAGTTCTTCATGCCCAGCTTAGAGATGAAGGTCTTGAACGGAGCTACAGAGAGAGGCTTGGTGAACCCGTCCGCGATTTGATTCAAGGAGGAGACCGAAAGAAGTTTGATCAACCCATGTGACACCTTTTCCCGAACCAAGTGACAATCAATTTCGATATGCTTGGTTCTTTCGTGAAAAACGTGATTCTCGGCTATGGCGATGGCGGACTTGTTGTCACAAAACATAGCAGCTGGCTTCTTTAAAGTGATTTGCAAGTCTGCAAGAAGGTATGTAATCTACTGCACTTCGCAAACGGTGGTCGCGAGAGCTCTGTACTCCGCTTCGGATGAAGAACGTGAAACGGTTGCCTGTTTCTTGGACTTCCAAGAAATGAGAGAAGTCCCTAGGAAGATACAATATCCGGTAATGGATTTTCTTGTATCCACACAAGAAGCCCAATCTGAGTCGGAGAAAACGTTTAGCTGGAGATCAACGCCCTTTGGATAAAACAGACCTTGTCCAAGAGAGCTCTTGATGTATCTGAGAACTCTGTGAGCTGCACTCAAATGACTGTCAGTAGGGGCATCAATGTACTGGCTTAGCTGCTGGACTGTGTAGGCTATGTCTGGTCTGGTGGCAGTCAAGTATAGTAAACGCCCAACAAGCCTTCTATACTTACTGACATCTGCTAGCGGAACACCATCATCATGTTGTAACTGGTGACCGGGTACCATTGGGGTGTTAACAGGCTTGCATTCAAGAAATCCTTCCTCAGTTAAGATATCCAGAGCATATTTTCTCTGAGAAAGATGCAATCCCGAGCTATTCATTACTGCCTCGATGCCTAGAAAGTAGCCAACCTTTCCCAGATCTTTTATACTGAAAGTCTCATCCAAGAAGGACTTGAGGTCTGTGATTTGTGATATATTTGGACTAGTGACTAATATATCATCCACATACACCAAAACAGCTATGAACTTGTCACCTTTTCCTTTTGTGAACAGAGAGGGATCTGACTTTGATTGATCAAAACCAATGCTGAGCAGAGCAGTACAAAGCTTCTCATTCCATTGACGACTAGCCTGCTTAAGGCCATAGAGAGAACGAAGTAACCGGCAGACTTGATTCGGCTTCTCAGTGTTAAAACCGGGAGGCAAAGTCATGTAAACTTCTTCTGTCAGATCACCGTGCAAAAAAGCATTATTTACGTCTAATTGATGCACATGCCAGGAACGAGAAGAAGCAACTGCTAAAAAGGTCCGGATTGTAGTAATTCTCGCAACTGGAGAGAAAGTTTCTATATAATCAATGCCCAACTGTTGAGTATAGCCTTTTGCGACCAGACGGGCTTTGTACCTTTCTATGGAACCATCCGATTTCATCTTGAGTTTGTACACCCATTTACACCCTATGGGTGTCTTTCCTGCAGGCAATTCGGTTAACTCCCATGTGTGATTGTCCTGCAAAGCTTGTATTTCTGTAAGCATTGCCTTCTTCCAATTCTCATTTGTTATGGCTTGGTTGTACGTCTTAGGTTCATCAACCATTGTGACAGCCAAGGAGAAGGACCTGTGTGTTGAGGATAAAGCATCAAACCTCATAACTTTCGATAAATGATGAGGAGAAGTACCTTTTTGTATCACTGCCTCACAGTAATAATCCTAGAGTCTATTCGGAGCTCGTCGGGGCCTTTCAGATCTCCTTGGCTGTTCAGGTATAATATCAATGTCATCATCTATTGACTGTCCATGTATCACTGCCTCATCATTCGCTTCTTGTGGGATGCATGCATCTTGTTGCTGTGTATTAGTTTGCGGAGTGTCATCATGCGAGCCTATGGGACTGCCCATATTTTCATGAAAGAGGCTAGTTCCAGAAACGTCTGCTTCACTATGTTCATGACGCACTGGACTGGGCAGAGAAGTCCCAGTATTAGCTTCATGAAGCTCAAAGTGCACCGGAGTAGAAATTGGAACCAAAGGAAGGCAAGGTTCAAGAGCCTGCACTGGGGGCATGTCTGTGAGATGTCCTTCTTCAGAGAAAGGAAAATGTGTTTCATAGAAGCTTACATCTCTTGATATAAGTATGACTTTATCATGTAAGTCATAGAGCATGTAACCTTTAATGTGAGCAGGAATGCCTATGAAGACACATTTCTTGCTACGTTGTGCCATTTTATGTCTCGAAGGTGACAAATTCGATGCATAGCATAAACATTCCAGAACTCTCAAGTTGCTCAGATCCGGGTCTTTCCCATACAGCTTGGTGTAAGGAGTGGACATGTCCAACACCGGTGAGGGCAGCCTATTTATAAGGTATGTAGCATGTAAGACGCATTGCCCCCAAAATTCAAGGGGTAGAGAGGCTTGATACTTGAGTGCCCTTGCAATGTTGAGTATATGTTGGTGCTTTCTCTCAACAACTGCGTTTTGCTGTGGAGTATAGACGCAGGACTTTTGATGGCTAATTCCCTTGTCTGCAAAGAAGTCTGTCATGTTAAATTCTGCCCCATTATCAGTACGAATAGTCTTGATTAACACCCCAAACTGTGTGGATGCCATGGCATGAAACCGTATCAAAAATTGCCTGACTTCAGACTTGTTTTTCATCAAGTGTAACCAAGTGAATCTAGAGTAGTCATCCACTAGAGTTAAGAAGTAACGCTCCCCTTTCAATGCAGCAACATGGAAAGGCCCCCAAATATCTGCATGAACCAAATCGAAACATGCATTTGAAGAAGTAGTACTAAGGGGAAAGGGGGATCGTTTATGTTTGGCAAAGTGACAAACATCACAAGGAAGATTCTTAGAAACATGGCCTTTTATTTCATTCAAAAAATTGAGTTTATTCATAGGATAGTGGCCCAATCTTTGGTGCCAAAGCTCAATGCTATTACATTGTGCAATAACATTTTTATGATCTATGCCTTGCATTCTTGGAGACTTCATCAATAGGTACAAGCCATTTGACTGTCTAGCCAAACCAACTGTCTTCCCAAGGTGATCCTGAATCATGCACTGTTCAGGTGTGAAAGTCAGTTTATAACATGCATTTTGTAGAAGTTTGCTGACAGATATTAAATTGAATTTGAAAGATGGAATATAGAGGGCATCTTTCAACCAAAAATCTCTGTTGAGTCTAACACTTCCTGTGTGAGTAACTGCAATAGTCTTTCCAGTAGGGAGATTCACTTCAGTGCCACAAGCAACATGATAATTATCAAAGAAGTTTAAATCACAGATTATGTGGTCAGTGGCCCCGGAATCAATGATCCAAGTAGAAGAGGATAGCAAAACAGAATTGATATGATTAATAGAAGACTTGCCTTCATTCAGATTACTTTCCTAATTGAAATTTGGAACCAAAGTGACAGCAGCTGATGTTTTTGTACTGGAATGTTGTCCAATTTGGCCTTGAAGCAATGAGATTAATTTCTCTATTTGATCTGAGGTAGCTACTGTAGGAGGTTCCAAATTTCCAGATTGTAGGCTCACAGCAGCTGTTTGTTTTCCTTTAGACTTATATCCCGGGATCCATCCGGGGGGATAGCCGTGTTTCTTGAAGCATTTATCCACGGTGTGCCCACTCATTCCACAGTATGTGCATTTTGCACCCTTGTTTGAGTTCCCGTTTCGTCTCCCATTATACTGATTGCTATATGTGTTCATTGCTGCAACAACTTCATTCATATTTCCTTGTTCAGTTTGTATTGCATGAGCTTGACTCATCTCAAGATTACCAAAGTTCAGATTTGCTAAGGCAATTTGTCTTTCTAATTTTTCAGCCATAACGAAGACCTTATAAACCTCAGGAAGAGGATCAAGAACAAGAATGTTAGACTTCAAACTGCTATAATCGTCATTAAGACCTTGAAGGAAACGTATAACCTGGTCGACGTCTCGTTCTTGTCTGATTTCATTGATTAAGCCGCAGGAGCATTTCGGATCGCATTTGCAGATGGGAAGAGGCCTCAGCGCATTCATCTCCTCCCATAGAATCCTGCATCTCGTGTAGTAATCATTCACCGAAAGAGCTCCTTGCTTCAGGTTGTAGATCTCGCTCTGCAACGCCAAGATCTTCTGCGCATCACACTGTGAAAACCTGCGCTTCAAATCCTCCCATACTTCTCTGGCTTTGTCCAAGTGCATTATGCTTTGAGCAATGGACGCATGCACCGATTTGAATATCCAAGAACATATGATGAGGTTGCATCGTCTCCACGCAGCATATTTGACGTCTTCCCTGTTAGGTGCTGAGATGCTTCCATCAACAATACACCATTTATTTTTGACTTCCAATGCAATTCGCATTGAGATACTCCAGGATCCATAATTGGCGCTGCCTTGGAGTGGTGGATTAACGAGAATGGCGCAGGGGCTGTCGTTTGCACTGAGAAACAACGGATTGTCTAGATCCTCCAAGTTGAAGCTTCTCATCTGTCTAGTCGAAGTCCTCAGTTGCGGAGGAGTTCTCTGGTTCGGAGGCGTTCCTAGCTGTGGAACGACAGGGGACGGATTCTGCATCGGCGATTGAGTGATCGGCGAAGCTGGACGTTGATCTTCTCTCATCTCACCGGAGACGACGGCGGCGTAGCTGTTACGACGGAAGGGCTCTGATACCATGATGGACAGAGCAGAGTATACGAAAGGAAGACTGTGTATTCATGTATTCGTCAACTTACATCATGAGAGGAAGAAGGTGGTATATATACATGGATGTACGTATACAAGAAGCAGTTATGAGGTGGTTACAACAACTTTAGAAGAGAGTGTAAAGTCTATGCTACCCTTCACTTTATTTGGACTCTCTCATCTCTTATTATATATTGTTTCCTTTACTAGTTTAGTTATATTGTTTCCTTTTTATTAAGAATTGCCTTTATATTTAGTTCAGTAGATTTTAGAATAATCTTTAGATGTAACTCTTATATATATGGAGAATATTAGATTGTCTTAGTAAGTTGGAAATTGAATAAAATCAAAAGGAAGTTTCTTCCTCCAACTTCTCCTCTCTCATTCTATCATCAGCCACCATGGGTAAACTATCTTCTTTTTCTATTAGTCATAGACCCGTGACGCGTAATCAAACTACCGAAACATATCATAAAAGTATTCTTTTTTGAAAATGCATAAATATAACCTGAGAGACATAATACATAATGTTCATGCTTTTATTGGTTTCGTGTCTAAAGTCAGTAAAGGGTGAAATATTCTACCATGCATGTGTAGCAAACTGTTTAAAAGGTTATGATTCCAGTAATGCAGAACCAAAGCCTTCTTTGCAGTATAATAAATCAATATCATATTGTAAATGAAGAATTTGAAACACTTTATTGATCCCACACACCAAAACTCCATCTTCTCTTTCACACTAATATATTTAGTTAACAACTCTGCAGTTTACTCTGACTTCTCCTTCTTCAATGATGTCAACATTTCCAAGCATCACCATTGACGCCACAAACTCTTCAAAGAACAAAGTTTGGTAATCCGCAAACATTTCCACCAACCATTTTGTCTTGTAATCATTATACAGTGCCTGGTCTGATCCAAACACACCTTTTCCTGCAACAATTTGTTTGTAGTAGTTGTTGTCAAAGGTTGCTGCAGTAGAGTCTAAGAATTGACCTGCATTTTTGTCCTGGTTTGGTTTTGGGCATTTCCTTTTCAGGGTTTCAGCAAATTCTGGATTCATTCTCGGATCAGTGTCGTGCGATAGGGTGAAATTGCGAAGCCGGGATTGAAAGGAAGAGCAATGTGAAAAACCTAGCGTGTGTCCACCGGAGAGGGCCACCATGTTCTTAATACCCAGACCCCTTTGGAGAAAGCTCTGAATAAGTTGCGTTACATTGAAGGAAGGAGATGGTAAGTTTATAGTTTCATTCGCCCTTGACACTGTCCCGTCTTTCCTTCCTTTGAACACACTCCAATATGGACCTCCTGACTGGAAAGTAGAAACTTTTGATTAGTGATTATTAAACAATATATGATATAGTTAATTGAGTAGTAAGTGAGATCGAGCTTACAATAGTAACTATGTCTCTTGCTGCAATGGCAATTATGTCAGCACAGGAAACCGTGCGTGGACAAGCTTTTTCTAGTTTTTGTTTAGCTACATCGAACACATAGAATGCTCCAAGTGAGAGATTTGGAGGACCATCCTTCTCTGCTTGATTTCCTGGTGTAGACTCCAGGAGTATAGATGCATCACACCCCTGCACAATCAATACAATTAAAACATGTGCTCCATCTCAACTAGAAGCCTAAGCTTATAGTTGGATTGCACGTTAATAGCTATATGCTCACACGCCCCCTCACGTAGCTTATAGTTGGATTGCACGTTAATGGCTATATGCTCACACGCCCCCTCACGTGGATTGCACGTTAATGGCTATATGCTCACAAATACAGTATCTGTTCATAACTACTTTCTTAATCTAGTGAAGCATAAAGAGTCAATACCGCCTCCACTGAGGCTCGAACTCACAACTTTCCATATGGAAGCAACTTTGTGCCACTAGACCATAACGTCTTTGGCATGTATTACT